AGACCAGCCTGGGCTACAAAGTGAACTCAAGGCCAGCCTGAACTGCATAGCGAGACCCTGTCTCTAAAAAAAAAAAAGACTAAAAAGAACCAACTGTTTGATGTATTGATTCTTCGTATTGTTTTCTTAGTCTCCATTACATTAAGTTCTGCTCTGATCTTTACAGTTTCCTCCCTCATATGAGCTTTGGGCTTGGCTTGCTCTTCTTTTTCTAGAAGATTGAAGTTCAGCATTAAGTTGTTTATTTGAGCTCACTGTGATTTCCTGATATGGGTATTCAGTGCTATAACTTTCCCACATAGGACTGCTTTCATTGTGTCCCATAAGTTCCGGTATGTTGTTTTGTCATTATCATTTAATTGTAGAAACTGTCTTTAACTTCTTTTTAAATTTCATCTGTGACCCATTGGTTGTTCAGGAGGGTGTTATTTCATTTCCATGTATTTAGGAAGTTCTTGCGGTTTCTTTTGCCATTGATTCTGTTTCATTGCACTATGCTCTGATAATATGCATGGGATACTTTCAGTTCCTTTGTGTTTACTTAAGCATGTTCTATGAGCTAGTATATGGTCTGTTTTGGAGACTGTCCTATGTACACTTGAGAAGAATGTATATTCTGATGTTGTGGGGTGGAGCACTCTGTAGACATTTACCAAGTTCATTTGTTTAAAAATTTGGTTCAGTTCTTATATTTCTTTGTTGGTTTTTCATCTAGTTGATCTAATTGTGACAGTGGGGTATTGAAGTCCTCCATTATAATTGTATTAGTGCTTATTTGATTTTTTTATGTCTGTTAATATTTGTTTTACATAGTTGGGTGTGCTGGTATTTGGTGCATATATACTTATGATTGTTGTCTCTTCCTTTTGAATTGTTCCCTTTACAAGGATGTAGTAACCTTCTTTGTTTCTCTTAGTCTTGGCTTGAAACCCACTTTGTCTGCACATAGAATGCTCCTCCTGCTTTTCTCTGGGTTCTTGTCACATGAAATATTGTTTCCCATCCTTTGACTTTCAGTCTATGGATTTCTTTTTTAATTAAATGTATTTCATGTGTGCAGGATATTGTTGGATCTTGCTTCTTGATCTATTCTGCAAGTCTATTTGTTTTGATTGGTGAATTGAGACCATTAGCATTGATGGATGTAACTGATATGTGTTGACTTACCCTTGTCATGTGATTTTCCTGTTGTTGGTCCCCTTTTTTCTCCTCTCTTTAATTTCTTGTCTTGCTTGGTGGATTCTTTCTGTTTGGGTTCATGAAGGTATAGTCCTCATTATCTCTTTTTAGAATGTCCTTCAGAACATTTTGCAGTGCTGGCTAGGTGGCCATGAATTTCTTCAGGTGTTCTTTGTCATGGAAATATCTTACTTCTCCATCAGTTGTGAAAGGTAGTTTTGTGGAGTATATCACTTTGAGTTGGGAGAACAACTGACTAGAACAATTACGTACCCTTAACTAAAGCAGTACAATCGGCAGTAAAAAGAGCATCAAACAGTCTAGAAAACAACAAGCTGTGGTAACTATTAATTTGCTACCTTTAACCATAATAACTAGATTTGTGGTTATATAACAAAATCTAAAACAAACCAGAAAATTATGTACAGCGAAGAAGGCCTCAATATGGCAGTTTTACCAGCAGGGGAGAAAAATTTAAAAGGCGACTGGGGGAGAAATGTAGAAATAGAAGAGAAAGATTAGAAGCAAGACTGCACAGGAAGATTACACAAACTTTGTGAAACTTATGAAGAAGACAGGAGGAGAGAGAGATGGAAGAAATAAAAACAGAACAATAACAAAACTAGAAAGTGTTCACACTCATATAAAAACAATATGCAATCAGAAAAAACAAAACAAAAACATAAACAAGAAAAGAAAAAAGAAGAAGAAAAACGTCCACTTCAAGACATGTCTATTGTCACTGGTAGCAGAGTGGGGAGACATAGCCTAGATCTGTGTTTGTTAATCCCAGCAAGCCAGCCACAGATTTACAGTGGGGTAGTAGATAATCTCAGCAAGCCTGGACCTTTTTTTCCACTGAATTCAGGCTGTGTTTTTGCTATGAGGCTGGAATGCAATTTGTTCAGCTTGCAACACTCCCTGTGCCTCCTGCCAACTTGAATTTGGTTCCGCCTCAACCTCACACTGGGTGCCACTGTAGGGAGCCACCCACAGTTGCTCTGAGTTTCATGCTCTGTTGGCTCCTCTCCAAGATGGCTGTTGTCCAGTTACCCTTTTCTGTGGGATGCCTGAACCCAGATAATTCACCAGCCATTGCATTCCGCTGTGTCCACTGCTCCATTTCACTGGTGTGTTTCCCCGAGGACGCCTCTGGGGTCGCCCTTAGTCACTGTGTGCCTGCAGGTTGGAGCTGCCCCTCCCAGTGAGTCAAGGCTCAGGAAGAAAGCAGTACTTGCCACCTCCTTTTTTATTGTGGTCTCCCTTTGCTCTCCCTGTGGGCTTTGATTCTTGCTTCAGATCTTTGCTGAGTCCCAGGGTCCCACTTCTCCTCTTCCTTACATTGCTGTATTCCAGCATCTGGACAGCAAATCTCGGAGAGGCTGTTTCTCTGCTTTGCACCACTGTGCCCTCTTCTTGGAAGTCCTTGCTGTAATTTTTGATAGGCAAAATCATTCATCTGTTGTGTGCCCATGTTTTTGATTTTGTGTTATTTTCATCATTTAGCTCTGTTCTTGGTTTAAGAATATGTAGTGGTTCTTGTTGCTCATTATATAAAGTACAAACTACCTGAACTTTTAGGATTCTAATTACTGGTATCCATTCATCCTATCCAGTCTCTGGTTTTGCAGTTCTGTAGTTACCTGCCACTTCAGGCTTTTTATTGTTTGGTCTGGAGCAAGTTATTTAATCTCTGAGCTTCTACTTCATTAACTATAAAGCAGCAATCATACTAATAATTTCTATACCACAGAAATTTTAGTGAGAATTTGTTTTTGATACCAGGAATTGAATGCAGGACCTCATGCTTGCCAGGCAGCTGCTGCAGCACTGAGCGAAATCCCCAGCCCTTTAGTGAGAATTAAGTGAAATAATATATTTTTAAATAGCTGCTGTTAATGGAGATCAGTGCCAGGAACTGTGCTAAACTTTTAAAATTTGTTGTCCCATTTCATAACAGTTTGTGCTGTTTTCTTGTAGATTTTTTTTTTTTTTTTTGGTACCAAGAATTGAACCCAGGACCTCACACTTGTGAGGCAGGTGCTGTGCCACTGAGCTATATCCTCAGCCCAAATCATTCTTTAATATCAAATGTTTTTCTTTTTTGTTTGTTTAAATCATTTTAGAGTAGGACTTACCCATTGTAGTTGGCTGATATTTTTTTTTAAGTCATATTTTATTTATTTATTTATTTATTTATTTATTTATTTTTATTATGTTTTGTTTTGTTTTTTTCTTCTGGTACCAGGAATTGAACTCATGACCTTGCGCTTGCCAGGCAGGCGCTGTGCCGCTGAGCTAAATCCCCAGCCCCCTCATAACAGTTTTATGAGGTAGGAAGAGACTGTGGTAGTGGTGTTAATTAACATAGGTAGTAGTAATGATAATAATAGCATTTATTGAGCACTTATTTTGTTCCAGATACTTCATGTTTCAGTGTAATCCTGTATATAATTGTACAAGGCATATAATTGCAGTTTTACAGATGTGGGGATTTGAACATACAGAAACTAAATAATTTTCCCAGTTTCATATGGCTGATATATGCTAGAGCTGGGTTTAGAATCTAGGCTACAATGGAGTACTGGTCTGCATTAAGAAGGATAAATTTGCTGGGAGTGGTGGCGCACTCCTGTAATCCCAGCACTAGGGAGGCTGAGGCGGGAGGATCATTGCAAGTTCGAGACCAACCTGGGCTACAAAGTGAGCTCAAGGCCATCCTGAACATCCTCAAGGCCATAGTGAGACCCTGTCTCAAAAAGACAAAAAAAAAAAAACAAAAAAAAAAAACCTTGAGTCATTTGTAGGAAAATGGATGTACCTTTAGACCATAATTTTAAGTGAAATAAATCAGACACACAGAATTAAATATCACATGGTTTCTCTTATATGAGAAACCCAAATTGTAAATAAATAGCACAGGAAAAGCTAATAGAAAATAGGGGGGAAAGGGAGATAGATCTTTCTCACATGGGAAGGGGCTGAAGAGATGGAGGGAGGGGAGGGAAACGGGAGAGAAAGGATAAGATGTGTTACGTACAAGTGCCAGCTCCACACGAGGAGTGTGAGCATTAAACACTGCAAACGTATTAAAACAAACAAATAAGTGGCCATGCGTGGTGATGCACGCCTGTCATCCCAGGGTTTAGGAGGCTGCGGCAGGAGGATCATTGTTCGAGACCAGTCTGGGCTACATAGTGAGTGCAAGGCCAGACTAAACTGTATTGCAAGACCCTGTCTCAAAAAATATGCAGAGCTGGAGCCAAGGATATAGCTCAGTGGCACAAGCACCTGCTTGGCATGCGCAAGGTCCTGAGTTTGATTCCTGATACCAAAAAATAAGAAAATTAAAAAAAAAATTAAAAATATCCAGGGTACACTTCTAAATCCCAATGTATCTCTGTTTTTTGTTTTGGAAGGCTAAGCTAGGGAGCAATTCACCTACTAAAATGCACACTTCTTGGCACCTACACTGTTTATCAGAACCTTCTCTCCTTTGCAGTTTTGTCCCCAAGTTCCTCCTGGAACTAATTCTGAAGTGTCTGACTGCCTTTAACTTGTGCCTGTGGAGGTTCGGGATAAATACAGTTCTTTAGTCACTTACGTTGTGACGGTTGGTGCTATGCTGTGGCCGTGGAAAGGAAAGGCTGCTCTGAAGTGGTCCACTAACCCGTGTAGGATTTCAGACATTTCTCAGCTTTACACTGTCACTCCAGTTCCTGAGCTGGGCTACTGGGTCAGACACTTAATGTGCAGGAAGGGATGTGAACCCGGACTGATGAGAGCTTGCTTTTCTCTTGCAGGAAAGATGCGAATTCTGCGCTGCTCAGTAACTACGAGGTAAGTAGCTTTGAGCGGACCGTTTCTCCTCTCTGGTGGCTTGCCCTTTGTGAAGGTCGTTAAAGCGGACGGAGGGCCCTGTCTGGTGGACCTGAGAACATCCTAAGCTTGATAGAGTATATGCAGGCAAACTGGGTGGGCTTTGGTTTCTACTGGGCACCCTTCCCTGAATCCCAGAGACCCTGCAGCATCACTGGGGATCCCTTCGTGGACTAGAAGCACCTGTTAGAGCCACTTCCGTCTGAAAATTTCCCAATATAATATTCTTACCTTTTACTAATTGCCATCTTTTGCCTATAAAATGTTTTACTATATAATCACTTCGATCCTCAAGTAGTTTCAGAGCTCTTAACATCCTTATTTTGAGAGTGAGAGTTTAGTTCACCATTATGGATAATTGCAAATAAGCAGATTTGTAACCTTGAGGGCTTGAGGGTACGACCGCTGGGGACGAGAAGGAGAAGGAGGTTGGTGAGAGGAAGTGTAAAGTGTAACAGTGTTTTGACCTCCTTCCTGCTATGTGCGGCCCCACTGTGGTACTAGCAGAACCTCTGGTGGGGTAGAGCCATTCTTACACTCATGTCAGTTTCCGAGACGTCAGAGTCTAAACTCACAAAGACTTCCAGGAGGTCTGGGTCTGCTTCGTGTGACACACACAGAATGAATTCGGTGGGTCATCTGCCTTTAGCCTACATGGCTGCTGATTACGATAGGAAGACACACAGTTGTTGCCAGCCATTGGCTTTTGGGAGCCTCCTGTGCAGCTGGATGTTCCACTGTTTTGTCCCCTGGGGAAGCGCTCTCCGGGTCTTAGCCATTGCTTCTTAAGGGCATAGCAGGCAGAGGAAGGGTGGGTTACCTAGGAATGGACTGTGAGCCTGTGTTTCCCTCACGTCTCTGGTGGAACCTCAGAAACAGGGCAGAGATCTCACCTACAGCATTGACACCTAAGTGGTTTTCCTCACAGAGAAACTACTTCTCAAAATCAGCAGCATTTTTCCCCTTATTTGTAGTTTTTCCACAGTGCTGGGGATTGAACCCAGGACCTTGTGGATGCTAGGCAAGTTCTCTGTCACTGGGCTAAATCCCCAGGCCCTCCTTTTTTTTTTTTTTTTTGTCTCTTACTTTATAATCTTTTATAAAAAGAAATTATGCTAGATTTACATATGGAACCCTTCCAAAATGTATGTATTTTAGGAAGATTTATTGTCAAGTAGTACAGTTTTGAGATGAGAGATTGATATAATGTATATTGATAGGAAACACTTGAAATATTTTAAGTAAACTAATGAATTTACATTATTTGGCTTAGATAAACACCATTTTAAAAACGTCACATGCAGCCTGTGGGTGGAACATTGGTAATCCCAGTGTCTCAGGAGGCTGGGGCAGGAGGATTTGAAGTCTGAGGGAAGCCTAGATAACTTACCGAGATCTGGCTCAAAAGAAACAAAGAAAAAAACAGGGCTGGGGCTGAAAGCCTTGGGTTCGGTCCCCAGGGTGCTGCCTGCCCCCTCCACCTTCCTGGACTCATTGTGACATTGTGCAGCTTGATGTGTGCAGTGTAGTTACACTATACTACCACATTGTGACATTGTGCCCCCCCCACCTTCCTGGACTCATACTTGCTCTAAAGCAGAACTTAGAGGCAAGTTTCTGAGAAGAACGGAGGTGTTACACTTTCCTAATTATCCTTCAAATGCATTGACCTTGAAATAAGTATATTTCTCAGATTTGCTTCTTTAAAAAGCCAGATACGATTGTGCTGCACACCTGTAATCCCAGCACTCAGGAGGCTGAGACAGGAGGATTACCACAAGTTTAAGGCCGGCCTGGAGTACCTACTAAACTACTGTAATGAGTTTGAAACCAACCTGGACTATGTAGCCAAAGCCTATCTCAAAAAAAACATTCACTCATACAAATCTTTTGTGTATCTCCTCCTAGGTGTTCCAGTTACTAACTGATCTGAAAGAGCAGCGTAAAGAAAGCGGGAAGATGAAACACAGTGCAGGGCAGCAGAACTTGAACACCATCACCTATGAAGTGAGTCTGGGCTCCTGCAGACCCTGGCGGAACTGCCCTTGCAGGGGTTAGGATCGCCTCGCACCTGACTTCAGTAGGTCTGCTGTAACCCAGCCTTTTTTTGAGACAGGGTCTCGCCATGCAGTTCAGGCTGGCCTTGACCTCACTTTGTAGCCCAGGCCGTCTAGAACTTGCAGTGATCCTCCTGCCTCAGCCTCCTGAGTGCTGGGATTACAGATGTGTGCCACCATGCCTGGCTTTGTAACCTAGTCTTTCTGTTCACACAGCAGGAGTTTGGCCAATGGCCAACTCATTCAGTCACAGTTACAGACCCTGTGTACAGCTGCCCTCACTTGGAAACACTGCAAGTTAGGGATCCCCACCCTGAGGCCTGCTCTGGTATATAATTCCCTCCGAGGACTCACAGGAGTCACTGAAAGCTGCTACATTCATGATGTATTTGTTACACGGGAAGGATACAGATTAAAATTGGCCAAGAGAAGAAGAATGTAGGGGCAGAGTCCTGTCGTCCTCTCCTGTGAGGTCAGGAACTGCCCCTGTCCTGAAATCGTTGAGTCACCATAGGCACCGAGTGTTCCTGGCCAGGGAAACCCGCCAAGCATCGACCACGGTTCTTAGGAGCAGCCAGCGCCACCCGAAAGCTATGCAGACGGCCACCCCTCTCCCAGGTCACACTGCCAAGCTAGCCAGTGTGACCAGAGGCCCAACGGGCACACATTCCAGGGCCCACACTTGGTGTCCCGGAAGTCTTAAGACCAAGGCTGGCACTTCTGGGCAAGGCCAGATTCTTTATTTCACAAAAAACATTACTTACTTTAAAAAATTAGGCCAGGTGTGGTGGCACATGCCTGTGATCCCAGCATTCAGGAGACTGAGGCAGGGCTGCGTAGTGAGTTCAAGGCCAGCCCTGACTACACAGTGAGACCTTGTCCAAAAAAAATGTATCAGATGCATAAAGAAGAAAGCAGATGGAATTTATAGTTTTAATATGAGTTGACATTTTGCTGTGTTCTGTCCTGATTTTATACTTTGCCCTTAAAAAGCAAGTTTATGCTATTATGTGATGTTTGATTTTTTTAACATGTCACTTTAATTTAATGTTTTCTTTCCATTTCCTTTCAGTTCTGAGGTTTGTTTTGTTTTGTTTTTTGGCCTCTATAAAAGATTTGGTTTTAATTATCTTTAATTTATCTTTCCAAAGGTTTTATTAAGCTTGGCTCAAGGGAAGTAAAGGGGTTGGCATTTTCATCGCCGTCCCTCCTCTTCCAGCTTTGCTCATTTAATCATGCGTTTAAAACCCTTTTCATTCTTCTGTTTACTCATGTTCTCCTTCATTATTTAGTTTATGTCTCAGAGAAGAAACTATTTGTTGGCAGTTAGTTTTGTAACCCTTTTTTTTTTTTTTTTTTTTTTTT